AGCGATTGAGGCAATTAGCTCCATAAGTACTACAATGCAGAAAGAGTTACGACTTTAGCTGAAAAGCCACGAAATTGTCGACAAGCTAGGCAAAAGCGGTCGGCTATGGATATCTCAGTGGCTACCGCAGGTGTAAAAACCTACAATCTTTTGCAGCGAATGTGGGAGTTTGTGCACGTGAGCATTCATGGTTAGCCAAAGAGCTCTCACAAATTGAAAAGTTGGTTATATGCTACTTCTTATACTTATTTGCAATTCTCATGAAGTTTTTATTAAAAATGCGGGAGACAAATGAGAAATATCTCAGCCATCTCGCTGAGAGAATGGTGACAAGTAGCAACTACTTTTGAAGTCGGCAGTATGGTCAGCGAGAATAGGGATATCTTGCCAAATCCGCAAAAGAGATAAGCAACTGGCGAAGTTTTTTGGACTCGGCGCAAAACAGCAAACGGTTGTAGTGCCAAATACGAAGAAGTGCGGTTTGGAAGTGGGTAGTCGATTGTAGATACCTGCAACGATCTCGTGTTCCAGACTAAAACTTTTTGCCAATCGCTCACCTGCAGGAGTACACAGTCTTTTTTTAGTTTTTTGAAACTCTTCATCTGGCATTGAAAGGCGACGAAAAAATGTATGCCACTTTAATTCTGCATTTATACCCTCTTTAAAGATATTTTCAATCTAAAAATTTTTTAAATATTTTTTTACTGATGAAATAAATTGAATTTGACTTTCTAAACACGCGGCAACTCTCTTGAATACATACCAATCTTTTATTAATTCATTTAACTAATTAAATAATGTGAATAAAATTTTCTTCAAAGATTCCCAAGTTCAAACCAAAGATTCCTTGAAAATGTCTCGTTTCTTATCCATATTTTAATACTAAATATAATTTGCGTATAAGTTAACAAAATTCGTCTTTTAAAAAGGTTGCGACGCTCTTCAAAATGTTTTCAACTACTACGTTCTCACGTCTGTCACCGTAAATATTTTAATTGCCTTAGTTCAAATTGAATTCGAGTTTTTGAAACAGGTGGCAACCCTAGAAATATAGCATTTTTAAACAATTTTAGTGGATACCCGTATTGAAACCACTCGTTTAACTTTTTAAATAATTTGAATAGTTTTTACTTTTGAAAAGGCAGCAACTATTTTCGAAAAAGTAAAACCTCTCGGAACATCTGCAGCCCAAGCCCTTTAATCTTACACCTCATTTTTCAAAATCGAAGAAAAGGTCAAAACGACATGGATTATTAAATAATTTGAATTCAATTTTTTAACAAGGGGCAACTCTTTCAGAAAAAATAAAACCGTATCGTACATCAACAAGCCAATCCCTTTAATTTGACACTTCATTTTTGAAAATCGAACGAACGGTGCAGATCTGATGACCTGGACAAAAAATTGCTTCGCGTATTATATGTGACCTGGTCTACGGAAAGGGGGCTTAGGTGTCAAAAAATCAATTTTCACTTTTTGGTTGATTCGGATGGAAGATGAGATGCTTTTTCACGTGGTGAAAAGCAGAAAATCTTAACTTGCTTAGAAGTGTACTAAAAATGTAGAGAAAGGAGAGTAAAAATACGACAAAATATAATTTATTGGTAATGAACAAAATACATTGAATTATAAGCTATAAAGACATGATTATACACTAGAAAAACGTATTATGGGCCAAAAATAATAATGCTGAGTAGTTTATGTATTTTTCTTTGTTGTCGTTTTCCTTGAGATCTTTTTACGTGTTGATCCTGAGGAAGATGGACAGTAAACGTCACTTCTTCAGTGTTACTTTTTTAAATGTTCCACACTAGCAACTTACACGATGAACTATAATAATATTCCGACCAACAACAACACTTACTGGACCAACAACAACACTTACTGGACCAACAACAACACTTACTGGACGTCCGGCGCGGAGAACAATTAACGAGATAATGAGAAACTGACGAAACGAGTTGCTTACTTTTAACAGCTTTTTCACAGAAAACTAGTTTTCGCACGTAAGCTCCCTTTTCGTAGACCAGGTCACATATATAGAAATAAAAAATATATATAAACCTTCATTTAGATATTTCTGTTTGAAAGCTATTTCAGTCCTCTTTCTTTTGTTTGATTTAGATAAGCGGTTGGTTTATTATTAGGAAAGAATTTTTATTTCGGATTTAAAAAACATTTGGCCAAGTTTAACAGTTATTACTGGTATGAAAAAGTAAAAGTCCGGGTTGACCGATTATTTTATTTCAGATGCTTTTACACCTTTTAACATTAACCTGCGCCCATTTCACTAGTTGAGTCTAAAAACCGATCTAATAATTTCTCTTAACGTTGACATAATGGTGTTCAGTTCGACTGGTAGAATGCCGTCGAGCTCAGGTGATTTGAGGATTCAGAGGAACTAATTTGACATTTTATAGCCTAAATGATTTATAACTTACACTCCATGCTTTTATATTAAACTTTCTCTCTGCCTATAGTTGTATTTTGCAATTTTTTGATAAGTTAAATTCGTTTAATTTGCATGCTAAAAATTCAAGGTGAAAAAAATACGTTGCTTGATTTTAAACATTTTACCATACGATTTTTTGGCACCACATGCTTATTTATGAATCTTCAGCAAGTATGTACAAACTGCGGCCCATATACATAATTTATGTATCTTCAATTCATGTTTGATTTGATTTTAAGTGTAAACTCTTATCGCCTGCAACATTAGCAATAATTTCAAATAATAAATTATTTAATAAAAATTACAAATTCACAGGCGCATTAAAGCAAACAGCTGCAATTCATTTACATACAATCATTTATGCTAGACAAATCAAAAATAAAATGAAACCCCAAGCCAATTATTGAATTACAAAATAAGATAAAAATATAAAACGCAATACTCACACTTCGTACTCGATAATTATTTAGTTGTTCAGTCTCTTCATCGACACCAACGCTAAAAAAAAGAAAACGATTTTGCATTTGAGCACACATTTCGTATTTAAATAGTTTAAACTCACGGTATTTTAAGCCAATTTAGCAAAAAATTGGATGCGCCGCCCTGTATGACGACTGTAAAGATCACAATTAACGAGGTTGTAGTCAACATCGTTTGACGTGCCTCAGAAAGTGTATTACGTATAGCCAAAGCAAAGGACATAGCGCCGCGCATACCTGTATAAGAAAGAGCATATAATGTTCAAAAACATACTTATACATATTCCAATGTTTAGATCAATGTGTGTCATTCATACCTGCAAAGAACAGCATGTGTTGAAAATTTGAAGAAATTTTCGGTTTACGATTCAAATTTAATAGCCATGAAAGCGGATAAATATTTACTGCGCGTCCAATGGCAGCGGTGACCTACAAAGTTGCAGAGAAAATTTTGAGAATTTTAAAGTTCAAAGTAATTAAGTTATGTTTTTTTTTTTAACTTCTAAGTATTTGTGCCACTTACAAAACCGGTTATTATGAAAACAGCATCAAAATGATGTTTGGGAAAGGTAAACATCGAAACGCCAATGTATGAAAATATGAAATTCTCTGCCAAGAAATTGAGTAATTCAAATATTTCCTTTGTGCGCGTGCGTGAATCCTCCGACAGATTGTTGTATGTATAATGCGCTTGACAAATACCGCAAAATAGCACAGCCACAACGCCAGTTAGTTCAGAAGCTTCCGCAATCAGGAAAGTACTATACGACATGAGAACGAAAAGAGCTGATTCCAGTAGCGGGAATTCACGTACCCGGGTAAACTTGGTCAAGTGCACTGGCAGTTAAGGAATTATGTCTGTGTAGGTTTATATATTAAAGTACAAAATAAAAGTAAAAAAAATAAAAAAAAAATAAACTAAGAAATAACTCTAGTATTTTTATTTAAAAAAGGATATCAATGCCGTAAAACAGCCCATTGTGGCGCCAATCAACAGCGACAACATGAATATGCAGAAGAAATCGCTAAGCGCTTTGAAGAAGGCATTTGTTTCGAAACCACCTGTGCTAGAGTAATGTTCGCCATAGTTTTGTATAGCGCTATAAAAAAATATGTAAAATATTTATTAAATAGATTTGATTACCAATGAAAATTTATCATATTTAATTATAGGTTAATTACCCGCTGAGCACAATGGCCACTGCATCATTAAGTACAGATTCACCAAACACCAGCGCATATAAATTTACGTCCACATGCAAATCGTGGAATATAGCTAATATTGTAAGTGGATCTGTTGGCGATATCAACGCTCCAAAATACAGCGTGTCCAGGAATGTGAAACTACTACTCAAATATTCTGGCATTAGTTTCACACAGCCGTACATAATAGCGCCGATTAGGAACGATGACAATGTTGTGCCCAAAATGGCGAACATCAAAATAGCGCCTAAATTGCGGAAAAAGTATTTCTAAAATGGCAAGAAAAAATAATCTTTTTAATGTTTGCAAAAAAAAAATCATTCCATCTTTAGTTTAACGCACCTTTTTAAGACTATAGCCTGCATGAAATATTATTGGCGGTAGTATTATGTTGAAGAAAATTTCTGGGTCAAAAGTGGCTTTCAAATCGATTTCATTCTCATCAACAGCGTAGACTTGACCACGAAAAACATATGCATATGTTTTGTTCTGTATTGGCTCATTGTCGGTGGTATTTGGTGTCAATTTACCAGGAAACTAGAATGCAAAAATGTGTAAAGATGAAAATAATTCGTTACTTGTTTCTATATAACAGCTTGCATACCTTCATCCATAATGTATCGGGTGGCAAGGTTTGATTAAACTTTGGATCACCAGTAGGTTCAACTTCCAAGTGCACAAGCGGTGTTGAAGTGCCGGCATAGCGTATAACCGCGCCAACAATCAGTCCTACAATGAGAAAGAAGAGCATTTAGTTTTATGCGTACTATATATCGATGGCTGTGTGGAAGATCGACCTATCTCGGCAGCCAGTTCGAAAACGCCCTACCTCAGAAAACTTTTCAAGAAAGCCCTACTTCAGAATTTGATTGAAGAACGCCCTATTTCAGAATTTGGTTGTAGAACGCCCTATCTCAGAATTCTGTTCAAATGCCCTATCTCAAACGAAAATACATTGAAAATGTTCCAAGATTGCAAAAAGGGTTTTAAGTTGTTTTTGAAAGTTCCTCGCAAGTTTATAAATGGTCTCGATGGCCCGAATGCATCGACTTTTTCATCGATATGATGAATATATAAATCTTCAAGGATGTACTTATTCAGGGAAAGTGTGTTTTAGGTATTCAGATTTCGGGAAAGCGAAGTTTTAATATTTTTCTGTTTGGATAAGTGAAAGAGCCTAGGTTCATATTCAGGCCCCTTGTGATGATGCAGCGGACAACCAGCTATATTCATAGGAAGTTTCCTTACCACCGGGCCTCCTTCGGGAGTTACTCTTCCCAGTACAGTCGAGTATACGCTACAATAACGGAGGGGTTTGCAGGAGTTTATGTAGGTGGAGAAAATGTTTTTAATTGAATTTTAATTTTATTGATTTTTCTTTGTTTTTTTCTGTTTATATACATACAAGTCTATCAAGTTTACATACATATGTGTTCTGTTTTTCTTGTCACAATGGACGCCATTGCTATACTTCCGCTTGCAACCCGTTTTGTCTGTAAAAGCTCGCCAACCGCGTATTCAAAATACATTGGAAACGACGGGCTACGGACCACAGCTTTTAAATTATTTTAACACGTACTCTTATGTAGATAATTATTTTGGCGGCGACAGAGCTACGCTACGACTGTGGTTGTGGCCAGATTAGATCTATTTCTACTTTTCCAGCGACAGATAAGGTTCCTCTTTTTTTAGGCCAAACTCATACAAATTCTTGATGTCGCTGCCGCGTTAAAAAAATTCATGTCGCCATCGACAAGGCGTTTAGATTATGTAGATAAAACCTTGATGTCGTGTCGTGCGGTGATGTCGTTTTCGATGTGTTCAGAGCTCAATAATAGCGATAAATTAAACGCTGGCTAGTTTGCTTCTTTGAATCTTATTCTCAATGATGTTATCAAGGAATCTAGGTATGGGATATAAAGAAGAGAACGTGGAAAGTATTCTCTCCGCGGTGCGGCTGGGCGGTTTGCTCTACGTTTTCGTCGAACAACTATACGAGGGAGACGTAAATAATATTCAGTGGTTCAGCTATATTCATTGCTGATTCTAAAATCTGTACAGAGTAATTAACAACGCATTGCCTGTGTTCTTTTATTTGTTATATGCTCATAAACCAAAAGATTTTATTTTTTTTTTTTGAATATGGTTTCATCGAGTGCGCTACGGTATTTTGTTAATGCGGTTTTTGCCTAGGTATAAACAACTTATATGGTTATGTGCTAGGAAGTTAAAAAGAGATGGACAATGAATACATCTGATGCGGCGGCTTAGCTTTCGGGAGAAAGTTTCTGGCGAAACATTTGCGGGCCTTTTTGCGTTGCCGATTGTGAATACAGACGACGATGGAACGATGAGCTGTAATAATGATAATAATAATGTAATGAGCCAACGATAATGGCAAAGTGCAGCGAATGAAAATACTGAGGCTACAGCTCTCGCGCCCGCCATGTATACGCCCATGGTTCTAAATAATTTATTTTGTGTTACTCAATGCGAGAGCCCCTTAAATTAGCCTGTCGGATCCTAACCTATGCTGAGTGGTATGTGCAGGGTGTCTGATGCTCAGTTTGTGGCTGCCCAGATTAGAAAGCCAGGGTTCGTGCTGTACATTGAAGTCTCCGAGTACTACCCGGTTACCACATTCTAGACAGGTGGTACATATGTATGTATGTACTTTAGAGTGGCAAAAAAAAAGTTTAAAATGATTGGCTAGGATTTTTCTGAATGTACCTATGTATTAGCGTGGGCCGAAAATACGTTTTTTTTAGAATTTTGATTGGTTATAGCAACAATATGGTTCGATATGCTCTAAAAACAATATGTGTGAAAGATGACAATTTTTGGTCAATATCTTAGGCTCGCCTAAGTCCATCAAAGTTAATGGCTTAAAAAATAAAAATTAATAAATACATAAATTTTTTTTTTCTAAAATTGCAAGTACCCTCGAAAGTATTATTCCTACATAATTTGGTATATGGACCTTTTTTTGTATAGAATCGAAGTAAGCTAAGAAATTTTTTTTTTAGCACTTGAACTTTGATGGACTTCGGCGAGCCCATGATATTAACGAAAAGTTGTCATCTTTCACACAGATTGTTTTTAGAGCATAATGAACCATATTTTTAACACCCTTTTATTAGCTTCACCTGTATGTTTGTATGTATGTATGTTTGTAACCGACTCCTTTGGACTCGATTTTGACCCACTTTAAACGGACAGATTTAATTCAAACTTTGTACACTTATCAAGAATCAGCGACAATATAATAATTTCATAATTGTATCTCATTATCCTGATTAGGATCGCCAGGATTAAATAATTTCCACACACAGCCTCTGTGTGAGAGCAAGTGAGACAACTACGCTGTCTGCGCATGCGTACCGTCTACTTACTTTCCGACTCGAGCACTCGGCTTATTAGAGTTAATAGATTCTATCCCTATCAGTTGCACAGTTGGCCAAGCGGGCTAAGGCGCAAGTGGTAGGCGCGAGACAACGAACTTACCAGACATGATTTCGAATCCCGTCTATGGCTGAAAATAAATGATGTAACGCTATCTTCCACTGCTTCACCGCGGTACTGATATTAATTGCAAAGATGAATTTGGCAATACGCCACTTCATTTAGCAGTAGAAAATAATCATTTCGATGCTGTACGAGCATTATTCAATCGCGGAGCCGATTGTGAAAAATAATTTAAATGTTATACCGCTGAGTCTCGCTGGTTATATTGGCAAAATAGAAATCTTTGAATATCTTCTAAATCGGGGTGCCACTGTTAATATAACTTGTACTATTAATGACTTAGAAGACTACTCGTTGCTGCACCTCGCTGTCGTTAGTAATAGTAATCACGGAAAAAGGATGATCGAGTATCTTCTAAAAAAAAAGGGCGCTGAAGTCAATGCTCTAGCAAAATAAATATAGTTTAAAAAAAACTAAAAAAAACACGCTTTTAAAGCATATCAAACAAAAAATTTAAAAATAAATATAGTTTAAAAAACTAAAAAACACGCTTTTAAAGCATATCAAACTAAAAAGTAAAAAAATAATTCTTAATATAAGTTGAAAATAATAATGAACAAAAAATACTAGT